AGAGTAACCTCATGAACTTCTTAGTGAACCAACGCCACAAGAAGGATATACTCTTTCCCTACAACTTCAAGCGAGTGTTAATAATGTTGATCATCCTTAATGGCTCATATGTTGATTCTAGTTAATTAATGAGTATTATGCATTATATCCTATAAACACATGCAGCAATCACTAGATATTAATGGACATCGATCTGGTGAAAAGTCACTTGATAATCTATGACCCGATGAGAAAACCACAACAAGACTACCAAGATATGATAGATATTATCCAGATGTAATTTCGGTATCTCTAGCAACTATATATACATACAAACATGATGATTAACTATATCTGATGACATGGTAAATTTTTTATTGGGCAGTGTTTGGAAAACCTTTATTGAGAAGCAACACATGGGAAAATGCAAAGCGCCACTGAATGTAATCCCTTTGAAAGTAAGTCTCATAAATCGCATCATCTTTATTAATTAAACATATATCTTTCACCGGATCACCAGATTGGATGACAAATCTTTTTCTCGTAAAGTGGTGTCTGAGGCAGGAACAGGGGAACAACTACTGTGGTTATTATGTTTGTAAGTTTATCAAAGAGGTCTGACAAAGAACTCCTACAGAGAGACTCAAAGTACGTTAAAAATACACTATATATTCATTTAATTATTATTATTGATTGTGTTACTATGTCTTTATATATATATATATATATGTATGTACATATATTAATTTATTTTCCTTTAATTCAAACCTGTAGGCTCGATGGTTGGAGGAAAAGGTCATACGACAAGACCAAATCAAAGCAATTCAAGAGTCTATAGCCGGATTTTTTTAATGACCAGGTCATCGATTCCAAGGGCGAGTTCTACTTCGACCCAACCCTGCCATGGAAGCCAAGCTAGAGGATGAGAGGAAACTTGTTATATCACAACAACTGTAATGCAATCTTTTGTAATGTATACACATAAAATAATATAATGTAAAATACACATATGCATGCATGCATGTAAATATGTAAATATAAATATATATATATATATATATTTTCTATGCTTGAATTGTGTGATTTAATACGTTCATTGTGCTTGAACCGAAACATACTATACGCGCGTATAAATGTATTATTAGCAGCGTACAATACGACTTCGAAAACCTATTTTGAAAAGAAAACAAAAAAAAAAAAAAAAAAAATATTTAGTCCCGGTTCATATTATTAGCATGCATGCATCTAAAGGGTGCCGACCTCGTGGCATGTCAAGAGACATATTTAGTCCCAGTTGGTGTTACCTACCGAGTCTCGGTTTCTGACCCAGGATTAAAGGACCTCTTTAGTCCCAAATAATTACTGCCGAGTGGAAACCAGAGGAGTTCCTACACCGGAAGTAAAGGCCGTCTTCTGTATGTACCAGTGATCTCTTCTTCACTCCTCGGAAGACCAAACAGGAGACGTCACCACCGACGTGCCACTTCACTTCGGCATGCTCCCCGCTCCCCGCTCCGTCTCTCTCTCCCCGTGCGTGCCGACAGGTGGGCCAGGCGCACGTCGCCCACCTCGCCTGGCACCTGGCGGCCTGGCATTTCCTCGCCTGCTCCATCAACCTCCCGTCTCGCCCTGCTGCCGTCGCGGACGCGACGAGCGACGACGTGCCGTCGTGGACGCGACTAGCGACGACGTGCCGTCTCCCGCCTCACCTCCTCACCCGCTCCCTCGCCCTCCCCTTCTTCCCCGCACCCATAGTTGGCCCCAACGGCTTCTGGATCTTGCCGCTGCTCGATTCAGGGCGAGCGGTGCTGTTGCGGGATCTCGCCGGCCCGCGAGGTAGGCGAGGCACGGGCGCCTGGGCGGCCGAGGAGCGGCGCGGGCGCCAGACCGACCATCCACCGAGGCACCGAGCCGCCGTGGCGCACTGCATCCGCCGGAACAAGACACACACGATCTGCAGCCACCGCAGCTTCCATCTCCAGAAGTGCACATGCTCCTCTGCAGCTACCCCGCTGCCCGCAGCAGCAAATGTAATTAAGATCTGCCTCCATGCTTCCTCTCTCTCTCTCCATTTGTTTACCCTCTGCTAGATCTAGCCAGTTTAGGTGTTCACCTATGTATTCCGTTCCATTTGGGTGCAAGTTATTCTGTCCCATTTGGCTTTGATTTAGCTTGTAGATTATTGTTTTGGAGGAGGATTAGTTGAAGGAATCATCAGCTTGATCACAGCACAACTTCCTCAATATGGCATATTGAGCAGAATTTGTTCTATGAAACTTTTAGTTATGCCATAGTTAAAATTATTATTTTTTCTGTTAGAAAAGTTTTTAGAAGACCCAGAGATCTCTATGTTGTTAATTTTTCATGATGTCTTGTTCTGGGTTCTAATATCTCTGAATATCGAATCAGTTCAGAACCTCAGGATATTGGATTATTTAAACTAGAGAGTTATCAATACTTCAGTACATTCCTATTTGGTGCTTAAACATTGGATGTCAGTTGAATAATCCAGCAAGTACAAACTCCTGAATGTTAGTCCGTTTTCAGGTCAGTATGAAACCGCATGTCTATTTTGTGGGCTAAGATTAGAAATGCTAAATAATTGAATTATGATTTTAAGATAATGCCAAACTTTTAGAAGATGAAGTTCAATTTTGACTAACATTCTCCCATCTGTTGCCTACAGCATTCTCCCCTTTGCCAAACACTTACCCCTGCTCCTCGACTGCTGGTTACCTGGTGAAATCAGTAGACGGCGTGATGGAACACAAAACATTCACATGTTTTAATAATTAGCTTAATGGCTATCAAGTTCATTTTGGCTTGTCTAAAGTCAGCCTTCACTAGCCCACGTGTACCCAATTTTTCAGAGTTTTTGTTGACCAGCAGGAATATGCATGAAAATTTTCATTTGTGGTTTATGTTTTGTGCATCAGTACAAATTCATGAATATTAGCAGTTCAGTGTAAGCAAGTGAGCAGCTCAGCTTGTTCCTGCTGTGTTCGGTAGCAGTAGCAACTGCAAGCAGTTAGCTTTGGTTCATCTTGTCATTTGCAGTAGCAACAATAAACTATATGTTTACGAGTTCTGTTCACCTTTAGGTTGCATAGAATTTTTGTTTATTTCTTCAGTTAATTCATTTGCCTAAGTCGTATTGGTTGTAGCAGTTTGCGTGCAGTGTGTTGATAGGAGCAGAGTTTCAGTGGCAGTTATAGCCATTGTTTTTCATAGAGTTCACAGTATTTTTGCTTCAGTGCAATTCGTTCATGGCAGCAGCTTAGAGAGGCTTTAATTGTGACATTGTATTTCATGCAATAGTGAATAATCGTTCAAGCAATTGTTTCCTATTTATGCAGTAGTTCGCTCCTAAAAATATTCCTTTGAATTGGTCTGAGACTACTGTTCTAAAAAATATTTTTAGGTTGATATATGATTAAGTAAAATACTGTTGATACATGTGGACTAGCATTTTAGTCAGTATTTTCTGCCTCTATGTACATGCTTTTGTTGGGAATGTGATTGATAGACTGGGCCCATATTGCATTTGGTGGTTCCCTGGTTGCTGCCTTTATTTACCCTTGACATTTATAAGATATTATTATTTATGGTGAACTACAAGTAGAGTAGTTCCTGTTCTCCAGCATTCCATTTTCTGCATTAATCTACCACTTTGTGTGTACACCAATGGCTACAGTAAGCTACATGATTGTTCATTTCTGGTGAATTTGCTTTCATAGGTTACCATGTTTAAACTTTGGCCTTCTTAAATGTATAGGAGTGGTATCATTTCATTGATCAAGCTCCATCTGAAATGTTTGAAGATGGATCGGGTGATCATGATATCAGGTGCTCAAGTAAATGGAAAATTGTTCTGGTGAAATCCAAACAAGCCGTGTGTTATAAAACAAGGTATGGCTGAACAGATGGTACTCGACTACTTGTACACCCTCAAGCAATGTAAAGGTTCCATGAAGGATGAACTGAGAGCATCCCCAAGTTCTCCGGTTCCTCCACAACCTCGAGTCATTTTGGCTTGATAGAAAAAATGACAAATTTGTGCAGTTACTTGACATGGTCAGTGAAGATTTGCAAGCGAGCATTGCACCAAATTCTCAAATTTTGTAGCAATGGTATTGCATTGGACAACTGATATATTGTGAGATTCTGAATTTGTTATGCTCATATCTTCTATGGTCTATTTTGCCCAACATATTGAGACAAGGAAACATGCATATGCCTGAATGGAGCATTTTGAGAGGCTGCATAATTATTATACAAACAAATTGGGTTAATATAGATTTCTTATCATAATTAATAATTAATATAGTTTTTTTTGGTTACCCGTGGCAACGCAAATAGCTAGTTAACTATAGGCACAAAATGTTTTGATGGATATCCACAACCTTTTTACATCCCTCATCTTCCGAACAATGGTTTCGCGAGATTCTATTTAATAGCTGTTGTACCATGTCCAGAAAAACACGAATGATACAAAAATCTAGAAACCTTGCATAGGTCCATGCCCCAAGAAAAATCTCAGATTCCAAGCAAAACATAAAATCCTAAACAATGCACGAAAACCAGAGGGCACTGGGCACACGAATAAAACATTCAGCATGAGATTTTTGTACCTTCCCACCGTTACCTTACAGACATGGAGTGATCAGACAAATAAGACAGTTATTTGGGACGGCATGAACACTGGCAACCTCTCACGTCTTAGATATTGTATCTACATGCTGTTTTTCATTTTTTTTTTCGAGCACTTACAACTTTGTGCTAGTGGCGTGCAAGTCAGTTCGGCAAACACCATGAATGAGGTATGCGTCCTACCCTATCAGTAAAACTGCCAGAGAATCTGTATCATCAGCACTGAAACATCACCACAGCATTTCGAAGAAGAAAAAAACTGAACATTTGCAGAAAGAGTGTCCAATATGCGACTAGTGTCTTTTTTCAAACCTTCGGATCACTGCTCAAAGCAAAATTAGTCATTCTTCACTCGAGGGTCAACTAATCACCTAGTGACGTTTTTTCTGGTATAGTGAATATCCAACAAGAGCAGACAATAATATAGTCCACAGAACCTGCATATGAAACTAAGTGGGTCAACAGTTGAACAATGACTTTGCATAATGTTAAATTTATTTAACATATAATATATAAAATTACACTAACAAAGTTACATGAATATGTAACAAATGTACAAATCCACATCAGCTAAATTTTAACATACAAAAAAATAGCACTTAGAATTTAAAAGATTACCATGTTTATTGTATTCCATCTCTCAAGCTTCCTTATCCTGGACTGCATATCATCAAGAACACTATCTGTAGAGGAAATTTCTCGCATTGGTGAAGATGAATCTGAATTGAAGCTCCCTCCCTGCATTAGTAATGATTTCAGTATATGAGAATAACTTGAAAAGAACAGTAAGCATAAAATTTTAGCAGACAGACAGTTGTTGAAGAACTAAGTGGATATGTTCAACAACTGAGTGTTGCAGAAATACGTATGTTGCGATGGATATGCGGTCATACAAGAATGGACCAAGTTCGGAACGATGATATACGTGATCGCCTAGAGGTACCACCAATTGAAGAAAAGCTTGAGACCTCCAGAGGCACCAGTACATTATGGAGTCCTAAGCCAAGCTAATAATATGAGGAGAGGTAGAGGAAGACCGAAATTGACATAGGAGGAGGCAATAAAAAGGGATTTGAAAGCTTGGGATATACCTAGAGATTTATGTTTGAATAGGAGTACTTGAAAAGCAGCTATTGAAGTGACTGAACCGTGACTTAGGGCTCTTAGTGGGTTTCAACTCTAGCCTACCCCAACTTGCTTGGGACTGAAAGGCTATTTGTTGTTGTACAGTTGTTGAAGAACTAAGTAGCCTTGTACATTTTTGAGGCCCAGATGAAGCAGTCCACTTACCCTTGTATACATACAATAAGATGAGAAATAGAATTGAGTTGTCTGCTAACGTTCAGTTGTTGTACTAAATAGCCCTGTACATTTTAGAGGCCCAGAAAAGGCTGCCTGTTTACCCATGTATATATACACACTAAAGAGGAGAAATAGAACTCAGTTGGGACTATGGTTTCAGTTTCCAAGAACTTGCAGAAAATATCTGAGTCCCGGTCAAACCAGTCATTCACAGGATACTAAATTATGACCAATTTCTTTAAATATTCACATGAATTTAAAGAAATCTAGGCTGTGTAAGAATATTTAAAAGGTCCAAAATTAGGTAATCTTGCACTTTAACAATCCTGACACATTTATCAAATATGACAAAATTACAAGAACATTTTGGAGAAAATTGCAAAGCAGTTCCCTCGATTCGTTCAACTTAGAATATTTAGCTCATCGAACTTGCAAATTACTCCATCCAAAATTATAAGTCGTTTTGGGTTTTCTAGATACATAACTTTTACTATGCACTAAGATATACGTTGTCTAGATACATATTAAAAACTAGTAGTTGTATAATCCCAATTCCCAAATGTTGGATGACTCCAAATTAACGTTTTTTTTATAATGTCCTTCCTGCTATGTTAATTGAAACAATAATGGTTAACAATATGGTAGCTAAATGCAGACAAGTATTCTCAGTTGCAAACATTGCATTGATATTGTTACTGCCCTCACGATAGCTTATCAAGGCAGCTTCCTAGTATGGTGTACAAATAGTTTACATACGTATCTACAGCAACATACCTGTGACTGGATGAACTCAACCAGTTCCTGCAGCCTTGCAGCTTGTTGATTGTGAATACCAATAGATGCATTACCGTCAGCTGGTAAGCTCTCCAAAATAATTTGAAGATAGCTCTGCATAGCACCAAGGAACCATGAAACTGAAAATAGAAATAAGCTATATATATATAACTATGTTTCGCATTGATTGATTTCAGGAATCCTAACCAAACCTTTGTTGTGTATGAACCATCCAAGCTGAGTGCAGAACCAGCAGAGGTAACTATGTCTTTATTTGTCCCTTTAATTTGAAGATATGGAGTCGACACTCCTTGTAGATGGTCAACTTCTATTAAAATCTTCAATGGATTTCAAAAGGCATCAGAACATACTTGTAGTTAACAGATACACTACTGCTTCCATCATAACATTACAAAATAATGTTATATAAAATAACAGATAAGATGATCATTGCTTTAGGTATGTAAAGTTACTAACGAAGCAGTTTTAAACCACAAAATGAGAGACAAATGTGTTAAATTCATATGTTCAGCCATACCGATAGAGGTATAGTAATAGGAGTGAGCAGTAGGATTGTGCCCCGTTACAAGATTGTTCAAACACAGTATGCATGCATTCAGTTCATTTTTATCACTATAGTATTTATTTCCTATACAGCTAGATAAATATCTAGTCGCGGTCTCCTCGCATTGCACAGGCGAGGGTAAGGCTTGCCACTAACACCCTTCCCCAGACCCAGCTAGATAAATATCATAGGTCCATCCAAAAACTACTAATAAAATTACTAACAACCAAATGTTATGACTGACATGAGATTGTAGTTTTCATTTTCAAAATTATGAATTTCTGTCGAACTTCAAATTTCTAAATCTACAGGATAAATATGTAACAATACTTTGATAAATCTTTCCTCTTAACGAAGGCATTCATAATAATCAAGCAAACCTGAAAATGTGCCAGCAAATTTCACAATTCCTAAGTCATTTAATCCTTATTAATCGTACATAGCTCAACAATGACACCAAAGGATCACAAATCACTGTACAAGCAAGCAATAATGGCATAATAGCACAGGAGTAGAGAGATTTTTACAAAAACAAAAACGCTGTCCATTTAGAGGGTAGGCTAGTATGCGGTCTTTTCTCCAAATAAAAAAGAAAGCTACAGTGGTTAAGGAACATAATAACCTTTCCATCTTGGTAAATGACAGCAGAAGCTTCAATATATGCAACAGCTTGGTAACTACAAAACAGGAATGAAAATAAATTAATATATCATAGTCGTCAAAAGAACTTTAAGAAGGCTCATATAGTTTAGGAAATATCTGGATAGATTTTAGCATATCAATCGAAAGATTACTAAAATAATGTTACATAGCTCAGCTAGTACAGCACAGTTCCCCAGAGGTCATAAGTTCCACTGCACCATTAATTGAACCTTTATACTATTCTCTCTTATATTTCAAGAAGCATATAGAATTTGTTCACTTGTTCGGGTAAGTTGATGTCTAGTGGTGGCCAAAACAGGTAGCTACTTGGCAATAGTATTATCATAGTATTTTGGACCTAAACAACGTATTCCTATATCTGCCCAAGAGGCTTAGTAATACAAGCAACATGGTATTCCACCAATTTTCTCCCTCCTACATGGTAACACAAGTTCAGATTCAGATCTAGGGCACAATATCGCTTCCACACCATGTGCCCCCGCGGAGCTCGACCTCTGCTGGGGGCAGCGCCCTTGTTTAGGCGGCACATCCTATTGATTTGTCACCCTTGTCATCGTTCTAGTGTGGGTCACAACATCAGATTCTCTCTCTGTCCAGATCTTCGCTGCCAGACTGGCCACAAACTAACCCCACGTCACTGTGGTGACGGCCACGGCAGATCGCGCCCCGACCATGCACTCCGGCATCCTCCACCGCTATCAACCGGTCCTGCCCTGCTGCCATCGAACATCCTGGCGGACGATTTGTTCCGGATGCCCAGCCACTATCCATGCCAGAGTTCGCCACCAACCAGCGTCGTCTACGCCTTGCCACTCCCTCCTGCACCACCAGGATCCATCTGATCTTGTGACAGGAGGCTGCCACCTGGCCTGTACACATCACCAAAGGACGGCTTCAGCAGGCCACCCATGTCAGAAACTTGTCACCAACCTGCGTCATCCACCGCTCCCTCCTGCACCACCAAGATACGTCTAATCCTGCGCCAGGAGCCCGCCATGGGGCCACACTGCAAGCGTCGCTAGAGGACGCCACCAGCCAGGCCACCCCACAACCACTAGTTTTTGATCTATTGCTGCATGTATCCCTTTTTGGTTTACCCACTCACTGATCGAGATTGAGTCGCACATCAACCTGGCACGTATCTACTCCGACATTGACGTCGACTACACTGGCCTCTACCCCTTAGCTCGTACTGGTAGGCCGGGCACACGATGCTGAGGGGACGCTTTCCAACATTGCTTCTCGGTCATCATGTCCGCACGTCCACATCGCCGATGCATCATCAACACCACTGGTCGAGACGATTCCACTGACTTCTCACGCGTACTTTAGTCTAATCAGCCGATTATGCACGACCCATTCGGCTCCCATGACGTTTGTCATCGAGTACCGCATGCATCCTCTCCGAGCAATAAGGATGCTAATGTGTTGCCCATGCCTCTGTCCATGTGGCACTTGCCACTACATCTACAACACCGTCCCCTGTGCATCGGCGACCATGATGCATCTCTGTCATCACCATAGCACCTCTTCTACACCCCCGACTTCATGTGCGACTGCCTCGACATTTGCTACCTCAATTGCTACATCGACCATGGCTATCTCTAGCACGACATCCTTGAACACAGCTGCTTGCCGTCGCGCTCGGCAACCTCGACATCAGCACAAAGGGCTACCGCGTTGCTTAAGCAATCGCATCGACTTCCTCTCTAGCCACAACACCCGCGACGCATCGACCATTATGAATACGTGGGTGTCAGGTCATCGACTTACAAACCTTCAGCTTCTCCAATCTCACCATCTGTGCCGCTCCCGTTGACGGAGGATGGGATATCTCCAGATATGGTAGATTAGGATCATGTAATCTCAGCTTGCCTTATCTCTAAGGGAGAATTCATGCCCCCTAAGCAATGTACTCATTATAATCTGCCCCTAAGGGTCGGCAATACAATCAATAATTCCACCAAATCTCTTCCTCCAACGCCATCATGTCACATCAAACATTCATCATGTCAGAGTATATTATGACTAGGACAGAGTTTATGATCCCATGCCCCGACTTGACACCCAAGTCGTGTAAACTCTATACATACCGTCCGAGAGGCACAATGGAAATCATCCTATTCCACCATTATATCCCTCTTGTATGGTATCACGAGCCCAGGTTCAAATCCTAACCATAGCCGTCGCTCGATTCTGCACCGCACACCCCCAAAAAGATCGAAGTTTTTTTTTTGAGCATTAAATACAGCAGGGGAGGCCACCACTGTAGAGATTTTATTAAAAGAGGCAAAAAAAAAACTGTACAAACCTGTCTGGCAAGATGCCAAACAGCAGGAGCTGGCCTAAAAAGGCCAAAAGAGAAACAAAACAGAAGAAAACAAGAAGCTCTACACAAAGAAGAAAAGCAGCTAGAAGGGACTCTGGAATTGCTGCTTTGCTTGTACCATCATTTCGAAGAAACCTGCAGCCAAATTCCATTGAATGACCAAATGCTGCTAGCATCTTTGACTGAAGGGGCAACCAAGCCAGAACACGCAAGGAGACCTGCAAAACTAGGAGAGGGAATCTATACAGAGGAGGAACTCATGACGTTTGTTTTCACAAAATCTACAAGCCTGCAATCTGGCCTCTTCACAGAACAGGCGCTTCCAAGACTCCAGGGAAGGACGGCCCTTGTCAAAGATGAAGTTGTTTCTTTGCTTCCAAATCTGCCAAGCAGCAATGATGAAGATCTCCATAAAGGAGTGTTGGAACTGCTGTTTTGCCTGTCTCATCATTTGGAAAAAATCTCCTGCAAAGTCCCAGTGAATTCCTAAGAGCCGCCAACAGGCTTGACTGAAGGGGCAGCTGAAGAACAAGTGAAAGGCCGTTTCTTCAACGTTGTTGCTGCATAGAACACAATTATAGTTGTTGCCTTCTAGCTTATGCTTCTTCCTCTTTAGGATGTTCCTTGTGTTTAGCCTATCCATAAGAAGTGAAAAGATCGAAGTTCGCCGAGGGCAACACCAACATTTAGGCGGCAAGTCCTATTGATGTGCAACTCTCATCATTGTTCTAGGGTGGGGTCACAACAGTAGATAGCCTACCCCCTCGCGTCTTCCTTGTCGTTCCTCGCCACTGTCGTGGCCCAGATCCAATTCATCTTGTCGCACTGTTCGCCTCCTTCGTCAAGATTCTTCACCGCCGAACTGCACCTCGTCCCTGTGTGGATATGGTAGTGGCCATGCTAGGCCACATCCCAACCATGTGTTCCAACACCCCCAAGCAGGCACCCCCAACACAGCCATTGGGCGTCCTGGTGGGTGGATCTGGCCCCAACATGCCGCGTGCTCCTGTTGCTCTGCGTTAATCTCCGCCCGACAGCGCGCTGGGAGCCCACTACCGAGACACGCGTGTCGCCGGAGGATGCCCAACCAGCCTCCACTCCTCCGCCGCCTCCTAGGTCGACTAGATCCTGCCACCCACCCGGCTCCGCCCGGACGCCCTTTGCCACCTACCCCATCTGAACGAGAGCACGCCGCCACCGGACAACAGTATCACGTCATGGTGGGTGGGGCGTGTTTGCTACAAGCACCCAGCGGTGTACCCAGGTTTTGATCTCTCGGTGCTTATATCCTTTTTTTGTTTTCCCGACTACTGATCAGTGTTAAGTCACCGATCGCCCATCGACCTTGCACATATCTACTCCAAAATCAAAATCAACTACACCGGCCTCTACCACTTCAACCTCCGCGACGGGCAAGCGATGCCAAAGGGATGCCTTCCCACGTCGCTTCTCAGTCATCGCGTTCGCATGTCTTTATTGTTGGTTTGTCATTACCACTACTGCCGACTTGCGTCATCGTCGTCCCACCTCACCCGTACAAGCAGCCGATTGTGCATGATCCACCCAGCTCCCGTAACTGCTATGCAACACCACCACCCATGACCCATCACTTGTCCCCTCATCGTTGCATCTAGATCGCCATCTCCTGTGCACCGATTATGCTAAGCAATGTCTTGTGCGCCATCTATCTCAACCTAATTAGGTCTTCATCGCCAACATCGAGCACCACTGCCAACATTGCGTCAGGATTGCTCGCCTTCGAGCAAGAGCGTCCACCAGGATTGCTCACCTTCGCACAGGAGCGTCCGCTCCCACAATGCTTCTTTTTCGTCCAGCACAACCTCGTTGCTACCGTCCTCGTCTCTTCTCTACCTACTTCAGCTACTCTTGGTGAGTTCATTCTCTTCTCAATGGACGAGCGTGTCTCTGTATCAGCCAGATGCATGCATAGTTCATGCAGTGGCTCAGCTTAGCTTCAGTTTTTGTAGTGGTGATCGTGCACAGCACTGACTCGTTCATGGGATGACATGAACCGCTAGGAGGTAGTGAGGTGCATGGTGTGGTCTGTATTGAAGTTGATCAATAGCATACAGAAAAAGCTGTGAGTTGCAGCCCCAAAAGTTCCAGTGTGTTCGTGTTGTGTCCACTGAGTTGCGTGTGTGCGTTCACCAAATTCCTGGGTCATCCTCTCTATCTCCGGCAAGGATCGCCGGTGATTAGGAGAGACGACATCATCGGGGCCTTTTATGCTAGTCCCTTGGACATTTGTGTACGGTTGGGGTCAACTACCTAGTACATCCAGTATTGACAACACTAGTGGAAGCATTCATCCTCGATGAGTTACTAGGCCTAGCAACCCCAGCACACACTTCGTCCATAGCGACTTGACTACATCAACTTCGGCATTGACCCTCCCTTTCTCACCCCGTTCCATTTATCGTCTACATCAACAGCCCTGACTACGTCGACCTTGACATCGCCCTCTTCCATGACAAGACGTGTCTCTGTCATCACCATGGCACCTCTTTTGCGCCCATGGCATGATGTGCAACTACGTCGGCATCAACAACCCGACCACAACTACATAGACCACGACTTCATGGTATCTTCGACCATGGCTACTTCATGCTCACGCTCGTCTACATCGACATTGGCACAAAGGGCTATCGCCTTGCATGAGCTACTCGTCGGTTTTCTTCTCCAGTGTTAGAAAACCTCATGGCTACGATAGAGTTATTTGGGATTAAGATCCCACGTCCCTGTTTCACACCCAAGTCATGTAAATTCTATATATACCGCATGAGAGGCTCAGTGTAAATCATCCTATTCCACAAACTCTATTCCTCTTACACATCCCATCACTGAGTCCTCACTAGCATATTATACTAAAAAAATGGCAATTAAATCCAACAAGCGACACATTAACCAACAACTCAAGATTATGATGTTTACACCTAGCACGCCAGTATTCAGATAAAGGAATGCCCAGTGTATTTTTTCCCTGTAATATGTAGAGATGGATAAAGTCAACAATGCACCACTTACCCAAGCTTAAGCAGCCCTGCAACAGTGCTGGCACTAATATCAAAATCAACCTTTGGCTGGATAATAAAATTTCCTTCCCTTATAGGCTAGCAAATATTGAAGGGAAGCGAAAGGGCAACATGTTACAGACCCATGTCAAAGAAACATAATGAAAAAACAATTAAGTGTGCATACCTCTCGTATCAACAATGCGAATCTTCCTTCACAAATTCTGACCCGGATACACTCACCTTCTGTCAGCTGGCCATTTGTTGGTATGCCAGGAAGCCGTAAGTACACATCAGTAAAGTTCTGGACAGAACTGCAGACTTTACTAGCATCTAGTACCTTCAGTATGTCTTGGTATGACACCTAACAATAGAGCAAAAACTCATCACCACCCAAAACATGGAATGCGCATTGTTTCCCTAGATGGCTTCCTAGGTGCTCAGATATAAAACCCCAGTAGTAGGTTTATCTAGCCTAGGCAAACTATCTAGGCTCTAGTGACACTATCCCCCCCAGGGCAGTCAGCTAAGCATACCAATGACCTATTAGGTACAAAGCAATGATCTGCCTCCCAACTATCACTTAGCACCGAGGGTGAACATAGGAAATGTGGGAATATAAAGTTGTATGTTTACCTGTTTTTTACTTTTTAACACAAAAAGCGAGCTTTCAGGAGAGAGCACAGGATCAAAATCATTTTGAATCTTAAGCTGCCAAGAAAGTGGAGAAACAACAATGCATAAGTACACAAACTTACTCGAAGCATCATAACAGCAGAATATTGGACAGTTATGTAAGGTGAAAAAAAATAGGTCAACAATTATGTTTCTTGTACCAACATGAGCATGGACAAGATGTGGTTCAATGTATTGCTGAAACAGTGGAAACACAGTGGTCATGATTTCAGTCTGGGAAATAGAAAAGCCAGCACGATTCTTGTCTCTCTGTATTCTTGCAATAAGGTGTGAATGAACTCCACCAACCTAGTCCCAGGGAATATGTTAATCTCAAAAGAAATATTTACAATCATATAGCAAGATGATGGAACCAGACTAGAAATTTGTTGAAGATTTGAGAAGGGTCTTACAACTGCAATCCACAAATCCAGAAATTTCCTTATAGCAGGATGTAAAGTATAGACACCTTCAAAGATGACCTGGTATCCAAATGTAAATCATGAAAGGATCACTCCTCATCCATGAGATCTAAGCATTGCAGATTGTAATACACCCTCCATTCCAAATCATAGGTCACTTTGGTTTTGTCCTAAGTCAAACTTCTCTAAGTTTGACTGAGTTTTTTGAAGAAAAAAAAATCGCGAAGGACGCTGGAGAGCTGCGTGTCATTTCAAAAAATATATTAACACCTACAAGCTTAAATAGATGTACTATCGAAACATATTTCATGGAGAATCCATGGTTCTAAAAAATGTAATTAATCGTACGTTTACGCACGCTTAATAGTCATTAACAGACCCCTACTGTTTCATTTAGGCCCTATGCTGGGTTCCATTTGTTACGAATAAAGAGAAACTGAATTGGATGATAATATTGAGGCCCAATAAGGATTACTATATATAGAGTACATGAGAGACACAAGAGGGAAACCGAAGACTATGAGATTACACTAATACCCTTGACTATTATACCTTAACACCCCCTCTCAAATGCAACGTGAACGCAATGTTGTTGCATTTGGAGAGTTGGCACTATGCACTAGACTTCAAATATAAAAGCATCCAAAATCCAAAGTAGAAGATGCTGTCGAAGCGTGCAACTCTTGAACAACGTCGATGTAAAAAATGATCTCCACAAGAGGGTACTGCCTTCACAACCTGTATTTCAGCAAATACCTCAAGTCTTCACAAAACAGTACTTCACTCTTCAACTATGAACCTTGCTTTGGAGACTTTAAACTCAACAATAATATAGAGATGTGTCAAATCAAGCCAAAGGAAGCATAGAGAGATCACTGCTGCAAGATGGCACGCAGTAGGATAGAATGGTGATGACGACAAAATAAACAGTCATTGATCATGAAGCGTAGCAAAATGGGCTACAAAAGAGACCAAGAGGGCATAGTCACATCAATGATGATGATGATTAGCTAAATGGACAGACTCAGCTAACCAAAGAAAAAAATGGCTGATCTGACAATAAATTTGTGGACACATGGCTTGGATGAACTGTGATGTGTAGAATTGGACTTGGATGGACACTGATGCAATGGAATTTAGGAAATAGGCCTCAACATACTCTAGCAGCAGAAGATGAAGCAAATTGGTGGACAACAGAAGATTGAATGCATGGGCACAGAGCAGACAGCAGACCTAGCAGAACAGAGCACCAAGCACAAGATGGAGCACAAAGAAATCAGCCAAGCAAGCAAATGGCAGGTCTGGGCCTTGATTCTTCGACATTTGAACTTTGTAGCTGTTGCACTTTCGCCAACGACATCTAATTTCTCCGGTGGTAGAGGTTGCCTATCAGAAGGGTGCCGAAGGAGATGAGGAAGGGCTTGAATTCCATCATCATTCTTGTTTCCTGGGAAGTTGGAAACATTGGAACTCTTCTGTATTTGAAGGAGCTTCTCCAAACGTTCAAGGGCTTTTACAAACCATAGGGGGTGAGTGTAGTCTTTGGTGCATGGCAGGTGCTTCCAAGCTCAGTGACCTTCTAGCTAGGTCACTGACCCCAGGGGCTGGGGGGTTAACCACTGGTGTGGTAGGATGGTCATGTTTTTTTTTGTCACAAGCATAGTCTGCCTTGTGTGTGTGTTGGGAACCTCAAGTCTTGGTTCTTTCTAAACTCAACTCGTTTTATTTTTTTTTTCTTCTATCATAATGAAATGACATGCAGCTCTCCTTTGTAGTTCGAGGAAAAAAAGTGAACTATAATTTGGAATGGAGGGAGTAAGTACCTAAAGAGAAGTATAAATATTTGGAAAACAATATTGTCAATCTCAACCTAATTTGAGCCAGTGTCTCCATTTGTTTAAATACAAATATTTCAATTATCTTAGCTTTACATTTCATTAATCTATCTACTAAGCATACCATTTAATGAAACTGACAACCATTTGAACGGAGGTATGGAATTGCATATTCAGAAAATATTACAATGCACCAGAGAATTACCCTATACTTCCAATACAATAGTTGACAAATTTAAAAAAAAATGCATAGAATAATAAAAAATAGCCCTGTTGAAACAAAGTAAAATGTACTCCATGAGAGGTTTGGATGGATATATACTTTACCACTCCACTTTCCTCGGATACTTGAAGCTCCTTGAACCCCTTTCTGCTGAAATTTTCAAAGTCGAAGCAAGGAACTTCCGCTTTATGACTATTTCTGATTTCCATAATGTTCTGTGTTATAATAATTCATGTACACATTTTAGACACAGTAGCAAATAAACAATCTACTTGCTCATATCATGAATTAACACCTTAAACTGTACCAATCTACTCTATTTCATCATAATATGTGCAAAACCGATCAGCACATAGGCCAATTTTATAGAGGCCTTTTGAGGTTGATCCATATTTAAAGAACCACTAGACCATGAACCAACTCCTTTAAACTCAGGCATTGTGGTTGCATTTCAAAGTCGCTCATTTCTTTCCCGAGGTAACAGACTAGATTCCATAGCACAGCAACCAAAAACTGGAGTACTGGACCTTACTAGATTTATATTAATGCACAGATCTTGATACTATGCTTAGACTTTAGAGATTCAAGATGAATAAATGATATTGCAGATACCTTTTGATTTTTGAATGAAGCACTCTTAGTGCACATGTAAAAGCAGCAAAAGGGAAGGTTTCATGGATTTGATGGTATAATGGATCCACAGCATTTAACGTTTATCAGGTTCAATAAAACAGGATGGAGTAACAACACAATTCACTTTAAATTGTCCTGTTTTAGCAAGGAATGAAGTTGATCCAGAGCTGTCAAGTACTCAAGTAGAGAGGTTAGATGTTCTCTTCCTTCTATACTGTGAGTAAAATCTCAACTACAATTTCAACTTATGTTGATCAGTTTGAGCATGTTCAGTATGTTCACAGTTAGCTATCCCACCAGCTTTTCAACTGAAGTACATAGCAAGCCAGTTATGAGAATAAGCTCTTCATCTTTGTTACTGGCTTACCGCTATGTACAGTCATGATTCTGGCATGTAAAATGGATATCAGCTCATTTCTATTGATTTTTTGATCAGCTGATTCATCCTTTACATTGTTTAAGTTTATATATTTACTCTGAACATGGAAAAATGCTAATATCAGCATCTGCGCTTGCTAACTTTCAGAATAATTAATTGCCACACCTTCAAAATACCATAGTATCAGAGTCATATGTATGCCAGCTGCATTGATACTAAGAGAAGGAAATTCAATAGCTGCCTTACCACCAGTTCTGACTAACTTTGCATGTTCAGAAATTTCGAGGAGTTTGAAGTGTATGTTAGCATAGGAAACAAAAAAGGGGATACATCACCTTAGTGAGCAAAGCAATATCCAATGAGCTGTAATCATCATACTTATAATCTCTCACTTGTTCAGGCTTGTAATAACTTTCCAAGCTTACAACTTCACAGCCAATTATATTTGCCATCTTCTGAGCTAAACTTGTCTTTCCCGATCCACTAGGACCACCTACAAAGAGTAAGAGGTCAAATAATACTAACTTAAGAAGCGCTTAAACCAAAACCCTCTAACGAAATGTGAAGCAAGAGCGAGCAAAAGGGAGAGGAGAGAGGGAGAGAGGGAGAGGGGGAGGGGAAGGGGAAGGGGAAGGGAGAGATAGGAGAGAATGAGTGCAACTATAGCAGAATATCCAAAAAGACACAAAACTAATACTCCATGTGTCGGTGCAAAAAGTGGCCAACTAGTAAATATTTGTCGTTTTGTCGTATGTTGTGATCGGATGTGGCCTAACACTCAATGACATAGGATTTATACTGGTTCAGGCAACGTGCCCTATGTCCAGTTTGGGTCGGTCGGTGACTTTATTCCTGAGCCCAGGTGCTCAAGTTTGTTGTGGGGTTACAAACGAGAGGGAGTAAGATGGGGGGTATCAGAGGTCCGGTCGGACTCTGGAGCCTGAGGGGCCAAGAGTGACGGGAGCTCCAACGTGCGCTAAGTGTTTGAACGTATGCTCCGTCCGGCTTAGAGTTCTAGAGCCAAGTAGAGAGAATCGGAGTCAGTTGTCTGAATCGTCGTCCTTTTGGAGAGAGCACATTCCCTTTTATAGATAAAGGGGACGGCCTTACAAGAGAGAGAGAGTGAGAGAAAGAGTGTGTGCTACCTGGTCTTGCTGCCCACGCCGTCGGGTACAAGGTGGTTTGTCGACGCCCACAATACTATTGACGCCTAGACGCATGTGGTAGGCTCCATCGTATTCTTCTGGTATGGCCAATGTCGGCGCCTACCATACTGTAGAACAAATGTCGGCTCTCACAACACTGTTCGTGTCCTGCCATGTCAGAAGGTTGCAAAGTACCCTTCTGACATGGCCTGACAGTACTGTCCTGCGGGTTTGCAGGGTGCGGTCCTCGGTATTGCGGTCGTTTCCCAGTCGTCTCCCACCACGCTGGTTGGAGAAGAGCTGTAAGCAGAGGTTCGGTGGCCTTCCGGTCGGAGAGGTGGGTCGGAGTCGGAGGCGAGTGCCGTTTCTAGGCGCCCGGGGTCGGAAGCGAGCGCCGTTCCTCCTTGGTCAGGCCTTCCAGTCGGAGAGGTAAGGCGGAGTCGGAAGCAAGCGTCGTTCCACTTCCAGTCGGAGAGGCGGGACGGAGTCGGAAGCGAGCGTCGTTCCTCCTCGGCCAGGCCTTCCGGTCGGAGAGACGGGCCAGGGTCGGAAGCGAGCGTCGTTCCTCCATGGCCAGGCCTTCCGGTCGGAGAGGCGGGTTGGAGTCGGAAGCGAGCGTCGTTCCTCCTTGACCAGGCCTTCCGGTCGGAGACTGGGTCTCCCTTCTGGCCTGTCGTTAGGTATTTGGGTTGGCTCAGGAGTTGCGCGTCGTTTGCAACGTCGTCTAATGGGCCGAGCTTTTCGCTTGGAAGCAGGTCCATGAGGGACCCCGTGTTTATGAACCCTACAGGAGCCCCCAAGCCCCAGGGCGATTCGGATAGATTCGTTTGGAGGATTTTTGTTTTGACAACAGGTGCGCGCGAGCACACCCACGGGTGTAGCCCCTGAGCCCCTGGGTGATTCGGGTAGATTTGTCTGGGGGGTTCGTTTTTGTTAGAATAGGCGCCTAAGGGGCCTGCTATGGGCCGGCACCAAGCCTGTTAAATTTGGTAGCCTAGGGGCTGTTAGAGTATTAGGAATAGTACCACATTGCCTAATCATGTGAGATGTTAGTCCCATGTACTCTATATAATCAACCCATGAGGCCCAATGCAATATATCAATATTCCTCCAATTATATTCTCTTTCATGGTATCAATCTAGGTTAGGTCTTCCGCTGCCCAACCCACCCCACGCACACAAGCACACCAGCACCAGCCATGGCTCTCTCAGTGCAAACAAGCAACAAATGCCACCGCCTTATGGGGTCGCCCTCTTCACCAACCCCCAAGGGCGACGACGATAAGCTTCGCCACCTCGCTCTGTGGTGACGAGGTCGCTCGGCGCCGCCAATGAGCGAGCCAATGAAGCCGCCCGCCACCGCCAGCACCGGGGCGCGAGCGCGCGGCCAAGGAGGAGGCGCGCGTGATGCTGCTCGCACGCGCTCGAGGTCGAAAGCAGCGAGCCGCAGCCACGCGCCAAGGAGCGAGACGCCGCCGCCACCGCGCCCGGTGAAGCCCTTGCTGCTGCAGCCCATGGAACGCGCAGCGCCGCCGCCGTCGCGCACTTCGCTGAGCCATCGGGCGGCGCTTTCCCACCGCTGGAGGCGCCTTTCACGCCACCGATCTCCGAGCGCCATGCTCCACCACGAGGCCGTGGCGCCGCTTCCAGCTTCACTCCCAGTATCGCCGCCGTCAAGAACATCCGGAACCACGCCACCTCCGTCCTCGACGCCGACTCGGTAACTTCAACCGTTAGTGCGATCAATTCTCGCTCATCCTCGGCAAGTTTTAACCTTGAGGCCATGTTCGCGAAGACCCTCCAGCCCAATTTCCCCGATTGGGCCCGGATGGATTGCGTCGTCAAGTCTTGGATCATCGCCACGCTCACGGACGATCTTGGCGAGATCATCCGTGCCCAGGGCTCCACAGCTCGTCACGCCTGGCTCGCCGTCGAGTCGCAGTTCCTCGGAAATCGGGAGGCCCGCTCCATTCAGCTGGAGACGCAGTTCCGCAACTTCGTCCAAGGCGACCTCTCCGTCACCGATTTCTGCCGCAAGCTGAAGAAGATGTCCGATGATCTCACGGCCCTCGGCGAGGTCATCACCGACCGCACCCTCGTCCTCAACGTCATCCGCGGCCTCAACGAGCGCTTCGCCCACGTAGGCACCCTGCTACGCCGCGCCAAGCCCTTCCCCACGTTCCTGGAGGCCCGTGAGGACCTCATCCTCGAGGAACTCACCATGGCAAACCGCAAGGAGACTCCAGCAGCTGCCCTTGCTGCCACTACAACTCCTACAAGAGCTCCTCCTTCGTCCAAAGACCGGTTACGGAGGCGAGTATGGGGCTCCAAGTTTTCAACAACCGCCGCAATGCAACAAAGCGCGGCGGCGGCAAGCAAAGTCGGCAGCAGCGGCTCTTCAGGACAGGGTTCCAAGGCTCCTACCGGCAACAACCAGCAGCAGCAGCAGGCCGGAGGGGGCGCCCTTGGCCGAGCTTCTACAACCCCTGGTCCGGCTCCATCCAGATGTGGCGAGGGGCCCTCGACCACCTCTCTGGCGCCCATCCGGTGCCTCCTCACCTCCAGCGCGCAGCAGAAAGCGCAACACCAGCAGCAGCAACAGGCCCTGCTCGCCCAGCAGCAGCAGCAGCAGCAGCAGCAGGCGCTTGTTGCTGCCCTCCAAGCAGGCTGCCGGTCGGTGGGGTCGCTCCGGTATTATAACCCTATGACCGGTCTCCCTCCTGGACCCGACGGACCTCATGGCGTCATTCAAAGACGACGTCGTGACCCTCCTTCAACAATGAGTGGTACTTGACTCAAAGCTTCTTCACACATGACAGCTCGCCTTCTTCCCTTTCACATACTCAACCTTCGCGGTACCCTAACCCTTCATCTATTATTGTCGGTAATGGCTCCCTTATTCTCACATTGCCACCGGCTCCACAGAGTTATCACCTTCTCTACGCCTTAATAATGTTCTTGTGTCGCCACAAATTATTAAGAATCTTATCTCTGTTCGCCAATTCACTATTGACAATAATTGTTCTGTTGAGTTTGACCCCGCTGGTTGTTCTGTGAAGGTTCTTCCGTCTCGGAAAGAGATCGTCAGGTGTAATAGCTCTGGGCCACTGTACCCACTTCGCCTTCCACTAGCACTCTCCTTTGCCGCTCAGGGCTCCTCTCCACTGTGGCATCGGCGTCTTGGGCATCCCGGTCATGAGGCCTTGTCAAAACTAGCGTCTAGTGTGTCTTTTTCTATTCAGGATTGTTCAGATTTATGTCATGCTTGTCAGCTAGGACGTCATGTTCGTCTACCTTTTCATGTGTCCACCTCTCGTGCGTCTAGCAAGTTTGATCTTATTCACTGTGATTTATGGACCTCTCCAGTTGTCAGCATCTCTGGTTATAAATACTATTTGGTCATACTTGATGATTGCACTCATTATCTGTGGACATTTCCTATACGACTTAAATCTGACACTTTCAGCACGCTTGCTCACTTCATCGCCCACGCCTCCACTCAGTTTGGCGCCCGCGTCAAAGCCGTCCAGTGCGACAACGGGAAAGAGTTTGATAACTCCAGCACCCGCCACTTCTTCCTCACCCAGGGCATCCACCTTCGCATGTCCTGTCCTTACACCTCGCCTCAAAACGGTAAAGCTGAGCGCATTATTCGCTCTACAAATAATGTTGTTCGCTCCCTACTCTTTCAGGCGTCCATGCCTCCCTCCTACTGGGTGGAGGCTCTCTCCACGGCGACTGTTCTCCTCAACATATTGCCCACCAAGACTCTAGAGTTCTCCACACCTCATCTTGCCTTGTTTGGCAAGCCACCCACATATGATCATCTGCGAGTTTTCGGTTGCAAATGCTACCCCAACATGTCCGCCACTGCTATTCACAAGCTTGCTCCTAGGTCTGTCCTGTGTGTCTTCCTCGGCTATTCAGCTCATCATAAAGGGTACCGCTGCCTTGACCTATCATCAAATAGAGTCATCATCTCCCGGCACGTCATCTTCGATGAAACGGCCTTCCCTTTCGCTGAGCGTCATGGTCCCAGTACTCCAGCAGACCTCGACTTTCTTGCCGATGATAGTACCGATATTGTGCCTGCTCCTATTGGACCGTCGCACAAGTGTTTACCTGCAGGGACTCCCTCCAGCACCTTTGATGCCACCCGCGCTCCCTCCAGCACCTTCGACGCCACCCGCCCTGCCGCAGTCCCTCAGGCGGCCGTGCTCAGGCGCCCTGAGAGCCTCCCGAGGATGTTGAGGATCCTCGGACGCCCGCACTCTACGTTCCCCCCGCCCTGCGGGTGTCAGGGACGTCCACCGCGCCACGCGCGGCCCTGGAGCTGCCCGACGCGCTG